GTTTTTGGTGATTTCAGATGGAAGGTAAGTCTGTCCCAGTTACTCCATCTTGGTCAGAATCAGAGTTTCTTATTATTTTATTCAAACTAAAATTTAAAAATTTAAAAATCGCACTTTTTCCTTAAAAAATATACACACCAATAGCACTGAGGTACATTCATCCTTCTTTTCTCAATTTCCCTTTTCCCTTCCCATTCTGGGTGGTTTCTTCCGACTTGCATTCTGATCCATGGAGTCCCTCTTCACCTGGGTCTAAGCTGTTATTAATTCCATTCAACGAGTTCTGAATCTTGATTTTTGTGGTTTTCATTTCTGGAAGTTCTATTTGGTTCCTTTTCAAACCTACTCTGTCAAATTTATAGTTTCCAGTTGTTGCTGAAGTTTACAGGCCTGACTTTATCCCCTTGAACATAGTAAGCACATTTGTTTTACAGTTTTTGGCTTATAACTCACATATCTGGGTTTCTTCAAATCTGTTTTTCTGCTGGTTCTCAGTCATGGCATGTCATCTCATGTTTCTGTTCATCTTTGTTTGTGTGCTGAAATGATATTTAAATGCCATTTGTAGAAATAACCTCAGGTCAAGGGTGATGTGACTGCTATCCTAAGAGGTTATCTGCTTGCTTCTCTGGGGGCAGGGTGCACTAGCAATCTGGAGCTCCCTTACACTAAGCTCGGGTTTGAGATTTTCCAAGCCGCCCATGTGATTTAAGGCTGGGCTGTAGTCCATGGGAGAGCTGGCTCACTCACTGCACACTCCCTCCAAGGAGGCATCCCATCTCGTCTGCAGCCCAGGGCAGGTGTGGTTTACCGTGGTCCACACCCTCAGAAAACCTGGCCTCCTACTGTTGTTTCCCAAACCCCAAAGACTGCCAAAAGTGACACAGCCACGAAGCTGCTGTTTCTGAAAAAGCAAGAGCAGCCTTGACTGCTTGACTCACCTCTCCACCTCCTTGATCCGCTGGGTCTGGTGATTCATCACCAAGATTTAGATGTTTCCAGCTTCTATGATGTCTATGTGTTGTCTTCATGGGAAAGCCCTTACTACACTGTTTGCCATTATTGGAAACCTTTTCATATATTAAACTAAATGTTTTAAAGTGTTCTTATTGTTTAATTTTGTATAGTGTGAGGTGGCATTGTTAATTCTTTTATCCCCAAGTGATAGTTACTTTTCTAAGATGTCTTATTCTTACTGGCTCTTACTCTTCCACATTAATCATAACTTTTAAAACCAGTCTTTAGTGTACATTTAAAAACTATTCCAGACACGTGTGTGTGTGTGTGTGTGTGTGTGTGGCTGTGTGTCTGTGTCTGTGTGTGGCTTAAAACAACACATATTTATTCTCTGACAGTTCTGAGGTCAGGAGTCTGAAGTGAGTCTGATGGGGCTGTAATCAACAATCGTGTCTGCAGGGTTGATTCTTTTTGGAAGAGAACACATTCCTTGCTGCTTACAACTTCCAGAGCCTACCAAATGCCTTGGCTGATGACCACATCACTCAACCTCTACTTCATGGTTCCATTGCCTTCTCTTACAAGAACCCTCCTGCCTCTCCTGTATAAGGATCCTTGTGTTTTCACACTGGGCCAATATGGATAATACAGGAAAATCTCCCCACCTCAATGCTTAATCACACCAGCAAAGTCCTTTTTGCCTGGGAGGTACATTTTCATAGGACATGGGGATGAGGATGTTGATGACTTTGGGGACCCATTCCTGCCTGCCATGCCACTCAAGTAATTGCTATGTCATATTTTGACTAGAATCACAGTAGTCCTATAGACTGATTTAGAGACAGGTACATTATCACATTAAGCTTTTGTATCCATGAACATTGGATATCTCTCCATTCATTTGTCCTTAACATCTCAATAAAATTTTGTAATTTTTCTGTCATTGTGTTAGATAATCCTAAATACTTAAACATTCAGTTGTATGTAAATGTCATATTTTTAAGCGTGTGTCTCAGATTTTGTTGCTTGCATATACATATATGATGGCTTATATTTTAACTAAAATTGAGGAAACTTGCAAAATTCTCCTATGACTAGAATAATTTGTAAATTCTTCTGAATTATCCACATAGACAATCAGATCGTTTTTTTAACATACTGCTTTCCCCTCTTCCATTCTCAGCATTTAATTTTCTTAGTTTCATAATACAGGAATGTAATAAGGCAATGACACTAATATATATGTATAAAACATACATTAATACAATAAAAAAGACAAGCTCATTTCAAGAGAGTACGAAAGTATTTCATAATGGTCATTAAAAAATACATGATTAAAAAACATTACCAAGGCTAAAAGACAAAACTTCTCTAACTTGAAGAAGAGATGTTTTAAAAACTGACAACAGGCGTTGTCATCAGTTAACATCAGTTAGTTAAGTGTCTGCCTTCAGCTTGGCTCATAATCCCAGGGTCCTGGGATCAAGCCCCATGTCAGGCTCTGAGCAGAAAGCCTGCTTCTTCTTCTTCCTCTGCCCGCTGTTCTGGCTGTTTGTGTGCTCTTTCTTTCTCTCTGTCAAACAAATTTTTAAAAACTGATAAAAAAGACATGGAAAACATTACCATGAATGAAGAAAACCTAGTGGCACTCACTGTACAATCAGGACTAGGACAGGTGCTATCAGTGTTCTGTATGACCCCAGGGAGAACTAGAGGCACTCATTGTACAATCTGGACTAGAAAAGGTTGCTTCATCATTCTTGTTGACCTGTTCTATTGATATATGTTCCTCGCTCTCTGGGTGAGCAGTGTTCACTGTCTATCTCAGTCCTGATCATTTCCATGAATCCTGGAGCCCTCATGTGCAGAAATGAGAAGGTAAGCTCCTTGAGCATCTCCATGAGAGCAGGTGCATGAGAAAACCCTGGTCCATGCTGCATGTTACCATAACATGCTTTACATCCTGTCCCTGTCTATAACTCATGCTCTTGGCTTGTTGTTCATACTTGATAGTTGCCTTGGGTCTTAATTGAAGAAGGAAAGGTGTTCCTCTAGCCGCTAGCCCTAAGCTCTTCCTCCAGATTTAAGTCAGAGTTTCCACGGGAAACTGATATGTATGTGTCCTGGCGCTTACTTTATAGTCTTCCCCTGGAAGAGTTGAAGATGACATGCCATGTGTAAAGAAGACAGAACAAGGGTGTCTGCTGAAGCCATGCCTCCATGAGTGTGGGTGTCGTGGCAGAAATGAGAGGGGAAAGCTAATGGTTCTGCAATGTTTTTGCTTTTAGGGGACTGCTTTTCCCAACAGGAGGCTACATTGGAGTCTAAGTAAGGAATATTCCACACTCTGGCCTGGATGATGAGGACACACCTGCAGAGACTCACCTGGAACAAGGAAGGGCAGGCAGAAAAGGCAGGCCTCCCTGCCCACCAGGGGTGTCCAGCAGTGGTGAGAGCAGCCCAGGACCACAAGTTTACTAGATCAGAATGGTATAAAGGAAGACAGAATGTGGCCATGGGCACCCCTGGCCTGCTGGGGCATGGACAGGTGGTATTCCATGTGTCCTCTCTTATCAGCTCTCCTTTGCCCTTCAGGGCTTCTGGCTCTGTAGTGCAGTGTTGGTGACCCCTGCAGCAGAGGGGCATTACCTTGACTGTGAGCATTCTGTGAGCAGAAGGAGGGCTATGGCCTATCTCCAGGGCAGAGGGTCTGGGAGCAGCAAGCACCATTGCTTGCCACACTTGCAGGAGCTGGCCAGGCCCAGACCTTCGTTGTGTCTAGTATAGCCACCTGCACACCTGGGGACTGAGTTGTGATTACAGGACACAGGCCGCCCAGCTCGGAGCAAACTCCACCCTTCTTCCCAGGGTGTCATAATTACAACCATAAATTGGAATGGTGATCTGTTGTAAACTGTTCCAGGATAAATGAAAACATGCTGTGTCTGCATGTTTCATTGATGTTGCTAGCCACACGAAATGGGTCACTGTGCCTCTGGAGAGCAGGTGCCCACCCACCTCCTGCACCCAACCCAACAGGAATGCCAGCTCAGCCCTCTGGGCACAACTCACACCTGGCCACCATGCTCTTCCCTTCACTATGAACTGAAAGTTTTGCTCATCCTCTTCCTCAAGACTTTCCTCCAAGGCCACTTCCCAATTCCCTTCCCCCCATGCTCTTGCCTTTTCAAATTGGGTGGCTTTCTCCTCCAAGTGCTCTTTACCTTCTGCCAACTACATGGAAGGTCCAAGGGGCAGGGCACCAGACTGCGGTCGGGGGGGAGCTGAGGAGGTGTTCTGGGAGTCTGAACCCCTGAAGGAAGGGCACTGACAGGAAGGGCCTTGAAGGGCAGTGGTCCTAAAGGACAACGAATGGAGTGAACATTTCCAGGGATCAGATGCAACAGAACAGTCTTACCTCTGAGATATTGACAGGTTCCTTGAAAAGCTGAAAAGACGGGAGGCCCCCCATGAGGTTTCTTCATGTGGCCCTGTGTCCCCAGGACTCTGGTTCCTTTGTACAACTGGACAGAGTCTGTACTGGCAACCCCAGGAACCACATGAGAACAGAGACATGCAGCTTAAAACAAGAATGGGGAACTATGCACATTTCCCCAAGCCTTTTACTTTTTCAAAAATACTTTATTTATTTGACAGAGACACAGCGAGAGAGGGACACAAGCAGGGGGAGTGGGAGAGGGAGAGGCAGGCTTCCCACTGAGCAGGGAGCCCAGTGAGGGGCTCAATCCCAGGATCATGACCTGAGCCGAAGGCAGATGCTTAAGGACTGAGTCCCCCTGGCGCCCCTGCCCCAAGCCTTCCAGTCAAGACCACAAGTGCCGCAGAATGGCCGCAGGGACATCCTTCCTGGTTTGACAAGGGACCAGGGAAGCCACAAAAGGAGCATCAACCTCACATCCATGGGGCTGCGAGGGTGACACACACCACGCTACACGTGTAACAGAGAGCCATCAGATGCCCTGCACATGCAACAGAGAGCGGTCACACACGTTACATGTGCAGGGCACCACCTGACCCTTCCCATGGGCACGCTTAGCAGCAAGGTTTCCGGAAGCTCGCTGCTCACTACCGCACAGACACGCGTCTTCCCGCCTGCACCTCCTGCGAAGCCGCTAGCCCCGGGCCACCGGCGCCACCGGTGTCGGGCAGGACGTCCCCGAGGAGCTGCACGGGTGACCCGGAGTGAGCGCGCTTCAGCGGAGCTGGCCACAGCCGGCCGCTCTGGCAACACAGCGGCGCCATCGCCCACAGCCCCCACGGGAGAGGAAGCCCGCGGGGCCTGGAGCAAGGGCGGGCAGAAGGGGCCAACCGTCACTCCACCGATGGTGGGACAGCAGCCCGGCGCCCAGGGGCCTGCAGGGCACCTCCAGGGCAGCTCCGCGAGACAGTGGCATCCAGGCGGGAGATCGGGGCCGGCAGGCAGGAGGATGCGGCCTCCCACCAGGTCAGCAGCCACGGTGTGCCCGAAGCGCAAAGCAGGTGTGCGACCAGAGCCCTAGGGAAGCCAGCGAGGGCCACGTGCCCTGCTCCACCGCGCCTTGCGGGTATCACGTGCCCTGCGCCGTCGCGCCTTCCAGGTGTCACGCCCCTGCGCCGTCACGTGCTCCCCACGTCGCACTCTGCTGGTGTCACTCGTGGTGGAGCCGCACGCCGCCACAAGGCTTGCGGGCTCGCTTCGCAGCACTGTCCCCCTCATGGCCGCCCCCCCCGTCGGACTCACGCGCCGCGCCTGGAGCATCCCCGCCCGCGGCCCCGCGCCTGCTCCTGCTCCTGCTCCTCCTGCCCCCCGCCCCGGCTGCAGCCATGGCCCACAGACGCCCCCGGAGCCAGGGCGGCGCCTGGAGCCCCGACGTGGGTAGGACCCCTCCACGCCAGACATGGCTGTGGTCCTAGTGCGCGGTTCGGAGTCCTTCCCCCCACTCAAGGGTGGAACCTGTCCTGCGCTGCCCTGGCTTCCCTTCCGCGCCCCCCGCCCTTTCCGGGCCCTCCCTTCCCCAGGCCTCCCACCATGCCCAGTCTGCGCCCAGCCCGCCCTGCCGCTGCAGCCGCTCGCAGGCTCTGTCCGTTTCTCCTCAGCCTGTGGCCATCGTTACATACAGGGGAAGATTTTGGGGGGCGCGGATGCCCTGGAGCGGAGGTGGCCATGGCAGGTCAGCGTGCACTACAGAGGCTTCCATGTCTGCGGAGGGTCCATCATTGATGAGTACTGGGTCCTCTCAGCTGCCCACTGCTTCGACAGGTGAGCAGGCAGTGCCGGGAGCCATTCCCCTGGGGGTCCATGGTAGCAGGATTGAGCAGGTGGGCAGCGGCTGCTGGGACTGGTCAGGGATGGGGGCCGCGGGGCCCAGCACTCAGCTCATCTGTGCGGCCTCTCCTTGCACAGGGCCGAGGGCTCCTTAGGGCCTGGGTTCTCTGAGGTAAGGATGGGGGGCACGGGGCCCAGCACTCACCTCATCGGCTGCGGCCCCTCCTTGCACAGGGCCGAGGGCTCCTTAGGGCCCCAGGTTCTCTGAGGCATGGGTGGGGGACGGCGGGTCCCAGCACATAGCTCATCCTCTTTAGCCTCTCCTTACACGGGGCTGGGGGTTCCTTGGGGCCCCAGGTTCTCTGAGGCAGGGGTGGGACAGAGGGTCCCAGCACACAGCTCATCCTCTGCAGCCTCTCCTTACATGGGGCCGGGGGTTCCTTGAGGCCCCAGGTTCTCTGAGGAAGGGGTGGGAGACAGCAGGGCCCAGCACACAGCTCATCAGCTGAAGCCTCTCCTTGCACAGAGCCGAGGGCTCCTTAGGGCGCCGGGTTCTCTGAGGCAGGGGGGAGCCATATCCTAGGACAAGAGGCAAGGTGGCATGACCCAGCAGGGCAAGAGGCATCCCCGGGAGATAGATTAGGAAAGACCTGCCCTCACAGGCGGCTCCCCATGCGCCCGACCAGGTCACCACCCCGGGTGACCTGAATCCCCCGAGTCCTCCAGTGGCCCATGTCAGGACTTCTCTGGGGACAGTTCCACCGCACGGCCAGGCTCTCAGCTTGCTGGAAGCGTGCTTTTCAGTGTCCTGGCTGCGCACCTGGAGGCCAAGGCCAGCCCGCTCCAGGCCTCCCGGGGCCTGGGAACACACAGTGCCCTTGCTTCCCAGGGGCATGACACTCGAGTCACCATGCCCTTGTTCTCTGTCCCCACAGGGACAAGAACATGGAGGCATTTGACATATACGTGGGGTTGGTGGACCTCAGGCTTGCAGGCAGTCACACCCAGTGGTTTGAGGTCAACAAGGTGATCGTGCACCCCACCTACGAAGCGTACCACCCTGTGGGAGGCGACGTGGCCCTGGTGCAGCTGAAGTCCCGCATCCTGTTTTCTGACTCTGTGCTCCCAGTGTGCATCGCATCCCCAGATGTGAACCTTCACAATGCCACTTGCTGGTCTACAGGGTGGGGACTCGTCTCCCCACAAGGTAAGAGCACGGAGGGTCAGGCCCTTTGCCGGACCTGCAGAGGACCACGGCTCTGTGTTGTTATAGGGAAGAGAGAATCCCTCGGTTATGGGGCTGCAGGTGTCTGGAGCCTGGAGCACCCACCCACCCAGCACTCTGTATGCTGTTTCACCCCGGCTATCTCTGTTGTGCACAGAGAAGCACTGACAGCTGCTGTGAGGACCCTAACACACAGACTTCCAAACAGAGTTTTCTTTAAGATTCAAAATCCAACTGGGAAACCATCTTTTTAAGTATATTTAAAACAAATCTGTTAATTTTTCTGGTTTTCTCCATAATGACCTCATATTTTCTTTCTAGGTGTATACCTAGTACCTTAGGATATTTACAGGATTTTTTTAAGATTTTATTTATTTATTTGACAGAGAGATCACAAGTAGGCAGAAAGACAGGCAGAGAGAGGGGGAAGCAACCTCCCCACCAAGCAGAGATCCCGAAGCGGGGCTCGATCCCAGGACCCTGAGACCTGATCCAAAGGCAGAGGATTAACCCACTGAGCCACCCAGGTGCCCCAGGATATTTACAGTTATTGAAAACATTCTTTTTTATTATACTTGCTGATCAGTCACACCTGTTGATTTTTGCACACTAACTTTCAGCCACCTTACGGAATTCACTTTTAATAGCTTGTCAGTCGATTACTTGATTTAAAAAAATCATATTTCCTTCAAATAAAGACTGTTTCATCACTTCCTTTCCCATATTTTTTCCTTTATATATGTTTTATCGGTCTTATTGTAGTGGCTGAACCTCCAATTAGAAATGATGCTAGGTCTCCTTTTCCTGTTTTTGATGTTAATGAAAATGCTTCTAATGATTTACTATAAGCTTGTGGCCTGGCCTGGAGACTTTAGCTTGATATCTTATACCAGATTAAGAAAGTTTAATGTCTGCTTTACTTAATTAAAAATTTTATTGAGATTAGGGTGCTATAAATTGAAATTGGAAAGTTCTAACTTTAGGATGTTCGAAATAATCCCATGGTAACAAAGAAAATAGCTATAGAATTTACAGAAAAAGAAATTAAGAAGGAATTTAAACATCTCACTACAAAAAAAATCATTTTTAACCCCAAAGAAGATAGAAATGCAGGAAATGAGGGACAAAAATCTATAAAGCCTAAAGAAAACGAAAAGCACGGTGATGGAAGTAAGTCTCTCCTTATCAGAGATTGCTTTAAATGTAAATGGATTAAACTCTCCAATGGAAGGACAGATTAAAAGAATGGATAAAAATAAGCTGTGTGCTGTCTTTTGAGATGCACTTGAGATTCAAAGGCACAAACAAGTGGAAGGTTAGAGGACAGAAAAAGATACCTTTGCAAATAGTGGCCAAAGGAGAACAGAGTGGGTATACTAATAATATCAGAGAAAATAGACCCTAAACCAAAGAAGGCTACAAGTGACAAGAAAGGACATTACAAATGAATAAAATTTCCATACAGCAAGAAGATACAAAAATTATCCACACTTACATACCTAATGACAAAGCATCAACATGTATAAAGCAACAAAGGACAGAACTGAAGGGAGGTATCAGCAGCTCTCCAGTACCAGTTGTGGGACCGATACGCCTCTCTCAGTAATGGGCTTAACAACCAGACAGAAGGTACATAAGGAAACTGAGGACTTAAACAGCACGGTACCCCAACCAGATCGGACAGACACAGACATCACCCTGCTCCAGCCCCACACACGTTCTCAGGTGCCCTTGGGATGTTTTGTCAGGCAGACCCTATGTTAGTACACAGGCGAAGTCTCAGTGGAGTTTAAAAGGTAAATGTCATACAAAGTAACTTCTCTGACCGCAACAGGATGAAGCAGAAATCAATAATATGAAGAAAATAGAAAAATTCACAAAATTGTGGAAAGTAAAAAACACACATTTAAATAACCAATGGATCAAAGAAAAAAAATCACCAGGGAAGTTATAAAATATTTGGAGATGAAAGGAAAGGAAAGGGAAGAAGAACGAGAAAGAAAAGACAACTTACCAAAAATTTTTTTTAAAGATTTTATTTATTTATTTGACAGAGAGACAGAGATCACAAGTAGGCAGGCAGAGAGAGAGGAGGAAGCAGGCTCCCCGCCCAGCAGAGAGCCTGATGCGGGGCTTGATCCCAGGACCCTGAGACCATGACCTGAGCTGAAGGCAGAGGCTTTAACCCACTGAGCCACCCAGGCGCCCCAACAACTTACCAAAATTTTTAAGGGATGCAGCAAAAGCAGTGCTAAGGGGGAAAATTAAGGCTGTAACATTTATTGTTTTATTAATACCTACATTTATAAAAGAAGAAAGACCTTGAATAAATAACTTCACTTTATGACCTAAGGAACTATAAAAAAAAAAAACAAACTAAGCCCAAAGCTAGCAGAAGGAAGAGAATAATAAAAATTAGAGCACAGAAAATGAAATACAGAATAGAAAAAAGTAGTCAATGAGTCAAATGTTAGTTAAGTTTTTGAAAAGAGCAACAAAAGTAACAAACCTACAGCTAGACTGACTTCAGAAATGAAACTGGAAACATCACTACTGTCATCACAGAAATAAAAGGATCACATGAGATTTCTAAAATAACTCTAGGCCAACAAATTCGAAAACCCCCATGAAATGGAGAAATTCCTAGAAACACTCAAATTACCAAAACTGAGTCCAGAAAATGTTACAATGCTGAATGAGTAAGTGAATCAGTTTTTAAAAACCTCAACAATAAAAGTCCAGGACAAGGTGGCTTCCCTGATGAACACCAAACATTTAAAGAAAAATTAACATCAATTCTTCTCCAACTCTGAAAACAAAGAGAGGAGGGAACACTTCCCTCCTTCTGTGGAGCCAACATGACACTGATACGAAAGCCAGACAGGGAAGCACAAGCAAAGATGTTACAGAGACTGTCCCTCATGAAAATGCACATATAAACCCTCAATAAAACACCAGCAAACTGACTCCAGCAGCACATTAAAAGGGTTGTGCACGCCAACGAAGTGGTATTCGTCCCAGGAATACAAAGGGTAGCCAACACACAGAAATTAGCCAGTGTAACACAGCACACAAGGGAACGAAGGGGGAAACCCATACATTCGTCTCTGGTGGTGCAGACAGAGCATGTGACAGGACTCACCATCCCTTCGTGATGAAATTCCACTCCCAAAACAACTAGGAAGAGGTACTTCCTTGTCACGACCAAGGATGTTCATGAACAACCCACAACTAACATCAAAGACAGTGCAGGAAGGCAAGCAGCTCATTCCCCAAACCAGAGCATGATGGGAAGCCCCCTCTCACCCCAGGATTCTGGGCTGTGCCAGAAGCTCCAACAGTTCAACGAGGCAAGAAAGAGAACTAGAAGTCGCCCTCACTGGAAATGAGATAAAACTATCTCTCTGATGACATGATCATACATATGGAAAATTCCAGGGAACCCTAAAAACAAATTCTCAAAACCAACTACAGACAGTCTCAGTGGAAAGTTGCAGGGCACGAGATCAGCACAAAGACCGGCTGGGTGTCTTGTGCCTTCCATGAACCATCACAGACAGACAGTGAAGAAGCAGTCCTACATCATCCAGAAGAAACGCTATGTATGAGCAAATTAGTCCGCGGAGGTGGAAGACCGGTGCACCAAACATACAAACCTTGCCAAGAGAGATTCTGAAAGACCTCAGTAAATACATGGACAGCCCGTGTATGTGGGCTGGACTTAATACTGCCAAGAGGTCGGCATCAGCCCAAGTGACCTGCGTGTCCCGTGCAGTTGGCACCAGGGCTCCAACGGCTCTTCTGCAGAAGTGGAAAAACCGACTGTTGAGTTCGCATGGAATTGGAAGGCCCCAGAATAGTCACAACAGTCCTAACAAAGACCAAAGCTGGACAGAGTCCTGCCCCCCACTTTCAAATCATACTGCGACATTACAGTGATCAAAACAGCATGATTTTAGCACAGACATGTGAGTACGGGTATGCATGCGTGTGTATGCATGAGTGTGCACGTGCATGGGAGTTGGGTGGCCATGAGTGTGTGCACGTGGGCACACAAGTATGTGTGTGAGTGTGCGTGTGTGACCTGCATGAGTGCACACGTGTGTGCGCATGCATGCAGGTGTGAGTTCAGGTGTGTGCACGTGGGTATACATGTTGGTGGTGGGAGTGTGCACATGTGTGCATGTGGATGGTGGGTGAGTTCAGCTGTGTGTGCACGTGCGTGTGGGTGGTGGGTGTGAGTTCCGGTGTGAGCGTGTCTTTGCCACATTTGCTGAAGGCCAGGTGTTACAAGAGAATGTTTAGGCTGAACTCTCTGCGCCCCAAATAGACCTGGGGCGGGACCAGTTGGCCCAGTGAGGACTGGAGCTGGGTCGCAGGCTCTGCTGTTGCTGTGGCCATGTCTTCCGTGCACCAGAGGCTCAGGTCCCTCCGTGGGGGCTGCTGGCTATGGGGCCTGGGGTGTTTCCGGGTTCCTGCTCCAGCTTTCACCCCAGCTTCTCTGCACACCCACAGCACGCTCTCACCTTACCTGACCCTCGTGGCTAGGCTGGTGTTGAGGGGGAGGAGCCGGGACTTCACTGGTCCAAACTGGTCCCAGGCCATGCTATGGCCCCATTGGAGATGGGCCTCCATGCACTCTGCTGCCACATCGGGACAGCCACGCTCCACTCGCTGTCCCCCTCCCCGCTGGTGGAAGGCTTTTGCTCTAGGGGACAGAGGGAGCTCCACGACAGCTGGCCACCCACCGGACACCTACCTCGAGGTGCTCTCTCACCGAGCCCTGCCCTGACTCCACCATTATCTTGTGGGCGCCCAGTGGAGACCCAGGGACAGACCTAGCAGTGGACACAAACCTCATATCTGGGTCCCCAGGCCGCTCCTCAGGAAGGCATGGAACTAATGGCTGGCTCTTCCCACCTCCCTCTACGTTCCATGTCCTCCTTCGTGCTCTGATGCAGGCTCATTGCTCTGATCCTCCATCCGCCTGGCTCCATGCGGTCCTGCTCGGGGAGCAGGGCACCTCCTGTCCTCTCTCTCCACCACTGTCCTGGGTAGTTGGCAGGACTGTGTGCCCTGGACTGGCTAGAACTCGGCATTCCAAACCCCTGTGAGCTCCAGGGGCTGCGGAGTCCATGCTGCCACCCTCTGCCCACCCCATGCCCCCTGTACCCTCTGTAGGCATGGCTCAGGGCCCGGCAGCAGGCTGAGGGCACCAGGACCCCCTGTGCCCTCTGGGCCCCCTCCTGTCTGCTTTGCCCTTCTTCTGGCGTCCGCCTTGGGGTTCCAGACACCTGTGGGCCTCACGGCATGTCGCAGTCTGGGGAGTGGCCCTGCAGGGCGAGGGGTCCTCCAGGCCTGGCCCTGTGTGTGGTCACCCCTGTGCCTCTGTGGCAGGAGGGAACCACACTCCTATTACCCTGGGGGGCCTCAGCGGAGGTCCGGGTGAGTGGCTGGCTGACACGGTGGGCTGCAGGGTTCCCTGATGGCCTTTCCTGGACAACCTCTCCCAGCACTGCAAACCCTGGGTTTGTGGGCTCTCTCTGGCTGTGCATTTCCATTTGCACCGTCTGCCTCTTGCGTGGCTGGATGTGACCCAGCCAGCGCAGACAGCAGCCACAAACACGACTAACTTCTACTTTCCGTCTTCTTCCCCCCAGGTGCACATTCATTAGGTCCAAAACTGATTCCCCGGGTGCTCCCTGCCTTTCCCCAAACAAGCACCCTGCACCCCTTTGACACCAGGGTCATGTGGGTCTGCAGCATGTGCAAACCAGCTCCTCTTTAGCTGAAGCAAGGCCAGAGCCACGGGACCCACTCGCGCATGGGCCTGGAGAGCACAGGTTTCCGGAACCAATTGCTGTGCCCATCGGGGTAGAGCCGGGCACACAGGGTGACACACAAAACCCGGAGGCCCATCTTGCATCACGGTCAGCCCCTCATTCAGGGACCAGACTGACAGAGGCCCTGTCACCTGGACCTGCTGCCGTGGGAGGGATGGGCTCACGCTGCTCCTTCAGGCAGAGTTCTGAGACATTTGTGCTGCCATTCGCTGACCAAAGTCTGACGCCCCCGTGCAGGCGGGACGACAGGGTGAGCCTGACGCCCCCGTGCAGGCGGGACGACAGGGTGAGCCTGACGCCCCCCGTGCAGGTGGGACGACAGGGTGAGCCTGACGCCCCCGTGCAGGCGGGACGACAGGGTGAGCCTGCTGCCCCCGTACAGACGGGACGACAGGGTGAGCCTGCCGGCCTCTCACCGGGCCTGCCCCCCTTTCCGACAGGCCATGTCCCCAACAAGCTGCAGGAGGTACAGACACCTCTGATCTCACTGCCCCTGTGCCAGCTGCTCTACGGACACCTGTCGTACATCATGCTGGACATGCTGTGTGCCGGGGACATCAGGGACATGAGGACCGTGTGCGAGGTGCATCCCACGGAGGGGCCGAGGCCAAGCCTGGGCTTTCAGACACTCACCTGCGTTGAGCCAGGGGCACTTCTGGGTGGGTGGCAGTTCCAGACGGCCGGTCCCCTGCAGGCCTCAGAAGCACAGCACCATGTGGCCTTCAGCTGGGTGGGGGAGCCTGGGGCGGCTTGGGCACTGCAGTCCGCTCCCAGGGCCCTGTGGAACCCAGCGCTGCTGGAGCAGCCCAGGTTCCACATGGGCCCAGGGGCCTTGCCCACTGCCCGTCACCCTGTGCCACCCACCCCGTGCAGGCAGGACAGTGGCAAGAGCTCAGCCTGCCTGCAGCAGAGCCTCAGCCCCAGCGGGTGGGGCCAAGGGCGTGGCAGTGCAGGGCCCCCCTCGTGCAGGAGGCTGCAGGCCCCGGACTCCCCACTCATGGGAAATCCTTCTTCTCTTCCAGGGCGACTCTGGGGGTCCACTCGTCTGTGAATTCAACCACACCTGGTTGCAGGTTGGCATAGTGAGCTGGGGCCGTGGGTGCATGTACCCTATGTACCCTGCAGTCTATGCCCGCGTCTCCTACTTCTCCAAATGGATCCATTACCACATGGAGCACACACCCCCGCCTTCTCAGCCACTCCCCGCCCTCGCCCGCGTGCTGGGGGTCTCTGTCAGCGTCCCTGTGGCCCTGCTGGCTGTCCTGCCCATGTTGTGAGGGCTGAGGGCCCATCCTGACCTACTCAGACTGCATGCCTCTGTCCCTGTCCAGCTCAGCCCCTCGGGTCTCCTCACACCTGAGTGAGGTGAGGGCCACCAGCAGGCCCAGATGTGAGGCGAGATCCAACCACAGAAGGGCAGAGCACCTTGGCTCAGTGCTCTGGGCTGATATTTGGGAAGATATTAAATGTTAACCAAGTGAGCATCCCAGAAGTCCTGCGTCATATGTCCACCCAGAGCACAGGTTCCCTCACGAAGACAGAGTGTGTCCATCAGCTGAAGCTCAGTGGCCTTGTCAGGGTGACAGGCAGCAGGGTGAGAATTGCTGACCCAGCCATCTAGAAAGGACGGCCTCACAAGCACTAGTGTCCAGGTTCAACCAGAGCCAGACAGATGGAGGGTCATTGATTTACATGCTCAGACCCGTCAAGACCAGAGTCTTTAGACTTTTTATACCAAAAATTCCAATATGAGCATTGGAAGATATGAGCTGAGAGTAAGCACACAGAAGGAGTAAAAAAGGTGAAACCAGAAATCAGTGGGCCGAACACCACAAAAATACTAACATTCTAAAAGTCTGGCTTTGGGGGCACCTGGGTGGCCCAGTGGGTTAAGCCTCTGCCTTCAGCTCAGGTCATGATCTCAGGGTCCTGGGATCGAGCCCCACATCGGTCTCTCTGCTCAGCAGGGAGCCTGCTTCCCCCTCCCTCTCTGCCTTCCTCTCTGCCGACTTGTGATCTCTGTCTGTCAAATAAATAAATAAAATCTTTATTTAAAAAAAAAAGTCTGGCCTTGGAAAAAAAATTAAAAACTAAAAAAATCACTAACTTAATCAAGATATAACATGAGATCAAAAACACAAAAAACAAGAAATGGCAAGGGGAAAATACATATTAAACACAGACAATTTCAGAAATCATAAGAGGTATTGTGTGATCCTATGTGAATAAAGGTAAAATGAGAAGTTTCACTTTTTAGCAAACCAGTGACATACCAAAGCTAATGCCCATAGAGATGGAAGGTGTACATAAACCAGAGTCTGGAGGAGAAACGGGGGCATTTCAGGAAGAACCTCCACTCCCAGTAGCAGCCCTTGTTCAGATGGTTTTCCTGGGAGCCCATTAAACCTCCCACGATGGAGCCGTCCCCGTGCTTCCATGCAGCCCACACGCGGCCCAGGGAGAGCCTTCCAGACTCACACTGGCGTCATGTGCGCAAACACATCTGACCATGCACAAGCAGCTTATGGTTCAGAAACCCTGGTGAAGGGCAAGCAGGCAGAATCCAGCCAGGTTCTACAACGCCTGTAAGCAAGCAGACACTACTCCGATAACGCAAGGAGACCCAGAGACTCAAGTCACCTAGTAAACCATTCACTAAGGAGAGTAATACTGATGGAGAGGCTCTTAACAAATTCAAAACCCATTTCCAAAAAAAGAGAGAGAGAAAAGATAGCAATCAGTGGATAATAAGACACACTCCCGCCTTGCCTGAACACCACCCTTCCTTTGTGGGGAGACAGAGTGCGTGCCTACTGAGGCTGGGTCACTAGATGCTCCTCCTGTGTCGGGCCTGTTGGAAGAGTAGCCACCATAGCTTCACAAGGGATGATCCAGGGAAGCAGGACAGGGCAGTGGAAGAAATCTCAGAAACCGAGATGATATGAGAAACTCCCAGAAGCAGTAAGAACATCCAGCAAAGCCACTGGACAAAACAGGACCAAAGCAGAACCTATTCCTACTGGAAGACAGACAACGGAAGAGAAGACCCCATTACAGTAGCAGCCAGAGACAGAGGGTGCTGATGGCCTCAACAAGAAATGTGAAAATCCACATGAAGAAACCTTTAGAATGCTCCTGGGGGGACAGAAGAAAAAGAAAAAGTAGATTTGAATGAATGTTAACATAGTCTGTTTCTCAGGCAGATCAACCCAAGTGTGTGCTCGTGCATGTATGCCTGCGTGTGTGTGCATGTATGCATGTGTATGTGGTGTGTGTGTGTGTTGTGCATGCATGTGTGTTCACGTGCCTGCATTACGTGCATGTATATGTGTGTGTGCATCTGTGTGCACGTGTGTTTGTACGTGTGTGTATGTGCACATGTGTATTGCATAAATGTGTGCACGTGTGCCTGTGTTGCATTGTTCCACTGGTCTGTGTGTCTGTTTTTGTGCCAATACCATGCTGTCTTGGTGATCACAGCTTTGTAGTAAAGCTTGAAATCAGGCAACATGATGCCCCCAGTTTTGTTTTTCTTTTTCATCATTCTCTTGGTGATTCAGGGTTTTTTCTGGTCCCATACAAAGGAAAGAGTCAACAAGACAAAGAGACAACCCACGAAACGGGAGAAGATATTTGCAAAGGACAGTACAGACAATGGCTGATATCCAAGATCTATAACCAACTCCTCAAACTCAACACACACAAAACAGATCATCATGTCAAAAAATGGGCAGAAGAAATGAACAGTCACTTTTCCAATGAAGACATACAAATGGCTATCAGACACATGAAAAAATGTTCATCATCACTAGCCATCAGGGAGATTCAAATCAAAACCACATTGAGATACCACCTTACACCAGTTAGAATGGCCAAAAGTAACAAGACAGTGTTGGAGAGGATGTGGAGAAAGGGGAACCCTCTTACACTGTTGGTGGGAATGCAAGTTGGTGCAGCCACTTTGGAGAACAGTGTGGAGATTCCTCAAGAAATTAAAAATAGAGCTTCCCTATGACCCTGCAATTGCACTACTGGGTATTTACCCCAAAGATACAGATGTAGTGAAAAGAAGGGCCATCTGCACCCCAATGTTCATAGCAGCAATGACCACCATCGCCAAACTGTGGAAAGAACCAAGATGCCTCAACGGACGGATGGATTAAGAAGATGTGGTCCATATATACTATGGAGTATTATGCCTCCATCAGAAAGGATGAATACCCAACTTTTGTATGAACATGGATGGAACTAGAGAGGATTATGCTGAGTAAAGTAAGTCAGGCAGAGAAAGACTATTATATGGTTTCAGTTATATGTGGAGCATAAGGAATAGCACAGAGGACCATAGGAGAAGAGAGGGAAATCCAAAGGGAGAGAAATCAGAAAGGGAGATGAACCATGAGAGACTATAGACCCCAAGATACAATCTGGAGGTTCAAAGGGGAGGAGGGAGGGAGGGAGGGAGTAACAGGGTGATGGGTATTCAGGAGGGCATATACTATCATGAGCACTGTCATACATAACTAATGAATCATTGAACACTACATCAAAAACTAATGATATACCGTACAGTGGCTAACTGAGCATAATTTTTACAAAGAGAAAAATTAAAGACCTAAATAAATGGAAAGACATCCTGGATTCATAGATCAGAAGACTTAATATTGTGCCACCCTACCCTATCATTGCATGAACACCTTTCCCCACCCCCAGCCCCCAACTCCTGGGACCCCTACAAGCAGCTGTTGGAAGATGACAATGCCAGATGGTTGGCCCAGACAGCATATTGCTACTTCACCTAGAGGGCCCCTGAAAACAGCAGTAAGGGGCCTCCCGGTTGGTGCAGCTCCTGGTAGGGCCCCTGTGGCCCAGGGTTAGGGTATGAAAGGTGCAGAAGAACAAGAATCCAGCTACAGATAAGCAGTAAATGGTAAGGCTGATTGGGCAGGGAACTAGAGGGAGCCAGCTGGGAGACTAAGGAGGAGGGGCTCAGGGGAAGAGTCCTGTGAAGCCCTCCTGAGGGCATCCACTGCAGGAGGGGTAGGAGAGGGCACGGCCCTGGGGAGCTGCCCTGAGGGCAGAAAGGGGGTGGGCCTACTTCATCCATGAACCTCCACTGCAGGCCAGAGAGACCCAGGCTGAGTCCTGTCCGGCACAACCCCCCAAAGAGACCCAACAACTCAGCCTGCCTTGCTGCCTGCCTTGGACAGGGTTTCCTTCCAACTGAGGCTGGCCTGTGTCCCTAGGATGGGCTTGGCTTTGCTGCCCACCAGGTCCAGTTTACTCACATGGGGCCCCACAGAACCTCACCATGGGGCCCATTTACAACATGACCGTGGGGTCCAGCATCCCACCACCTGGAGGCTGCCTCTGACTGACCTCTGGAAGGGGCAGGGAGGCACTGTTCTGCAGGAAGAACCCTGCCAGGATGGAGGACTATGGCTATTGTACCAGACCAGGCTCTGTGTGTACCTGGTTGAGCCCCTGGGCTGCAGGTCTGCTGGGCCTTGACCAACAGGAGAACTCGGGATGAGCACAACTGAAGGAAGGGACACAAAGGATGTGCCTGGGTGTCTCTGGCTCTTCCATGCCCAGCTGTGGCCAGAAGGGGCAAGTGTCAGGCTGCTCGTGGGTAAGGCCCCAAGCCCAGGGTGGTGAAGGTGGCAGGATGTGGAATGGGGGCTGGAGGAAATGGTGGTAAACATCCCAGGGCTCAGGACCAACAGCAGCAGCAGGCTCATGGCTTATCCCACTGACTGTCTTCAACATTCTCTCAGAATTAGGGCCAAAAGAATCCCAAGGAAGTGGGCAGACAGAGTGTTTTAATAAGAGAAGCGAGGATGTGGTGGATGCCCTTGGCTTCCCCGCCAGACCCTCCATAGCAGCCAAGGTCCCTGCAGCTGGCATCTGGCATGCTGAACAGAGCAGCTCACCACTGACCATGCTCAGGGGAGCTGTCCTTATCCCGGTGGGAGTGCCTGCCTGGGAGGATAGCTCTGCCCCTGCAGGGCATACCTCAGCCAGGGACCATGGTCTGGCTGGAGGGATGGCCAGTTCCTTGCCACAAAGTGGCAACCACTGTGCCCCCAGCTCTTGAGCACCGCCTTCCCCTCATGCTTCAATGTGGACCATGCCATGGCTGGGCTTCCTCTTCTGCCTCTGTGGCTAACCCACGCCCCTCTTCCTGAGAGCGTCTGCTTCTGTAAATTCAATCAGTTCAACCTAAGCCCCATTACCACGTACAACAGAATGAAAATATCTGCTTAGGAAAAAAAGT